AGAACGAACTATATTATTTAACTCAAGAATCAGTCCATTTCTCTACATTTCCACTGTTATCAGTTTAAACTGAGTAACTATCATCTTTTACCTCGTCTATAGCAATGGTCTAATTCTGTGGTTCTCAACCAAGAACAGGACTTTCCCCCTTCCACCCTGTCCACTGGGCATGTATAGAAGTGGGATACATTTTTGATTGTCTTGGGGAGGGGCACTACTGTCACTCAATGAAGAGGAGCTGAGGATGGTACAAGTTCAGCAATGTCACCCACACAATGATGTTTCACCCTGCCAAACACAGCCCCATTAAGAAAAACCATTCACTAATTTCCCAAACCTGTTCATAGCTCTATGCTACAGCCAGAGAGAGTGTGTTTTTTTTAATTTTTTTTCTGGAGACAGAGTCTCAAGCTGTCACCCTAGGTAGAGTGCCATGGCATCATAGCTCACAGCAACCTCCAACTCAGGCTGAAGAGATCCTCTTGCCTCAGTTTTTCTACTTGTAGTAGAGAGGAGATCTTGCTTTCACTCAGGCTGGTCTCAAACTCGTGAGTGCAAGCAATCTACACGCCTTGGCCTCCCAGAGTGCTAGGATTACAGGCATGAGCCACCACCCGTGGTCCAGAGAGAGTTTTTAAAATGCAAATCAGATGATGCCTATCCTATGTTTGATACCCTTTAAGAGCTTCCCTCTACCCTAAGCATAAAGGTCAAAATCAAAGTGTAGTCCACAGGCTCCCACCACCTCCTCCAGTTTCATCTCACACCACTCTCCTCTTATTGCCTTCAGCATGCTTTAGGTAGTCATTCACTCGACGAATAACAGTTAAACATCTGTGTGCTAGGAACTATTCAGACTGACAGGGTTAGAGCAGTGAAGGAAAGAGACAAAAACTCTGTCCTCCTGAAACTTACGTTCTAGTTCCAAGAAGCTGTCAGGCTCCTCCTCACCTCAGGGCCTTGCCACATGCTGTTGATGTGCTTAGCCAATCCTATGCAACCTTCAGGTCTCAGCTTAGACATCTCTCCCTCAGGGAACTATTCTCTGATCCCACCCCACTAAGGCAGTTCCTTATTGTATGATCAGTGACTATGAATTGTTTAGTGTTACCTGTTGAAATTATTTGTTCAATATCTGTATTTTCTGTTATATCCCTAGGATCTCACACAGTATTTGGCACAGAGAAGACAATCAAGAATATCTGCTTATCAATGAAGACATAATATGTTTATCTGTAGGCATGTGTCTTCACACTTTGATATTCATGTATTTATAAATATATTCATGTCTGGGTATATTTCCAAGTATTTCTGTAAGGAATTATGTCTGTGTGAATATGTGCATATGCATATATGGATATGGAAATACAATTTTAGAGTTTATTCACTAGGGTATACTCATTCACATGAGTTCACATGCATATATTTATGCATGTGCACACATGTTTGCACATATTCTTCTGGGCCCTCAGTGACAGCTCTGACCTCCAAGGGAACTGGAAGCACGATCCCAAGTCTTCTCTAAACTGACAGCTCAATAAGATTATAAGATCATTCAATGACATCCCAAATGTCAGCAAACACTGGCTTGCTCTACTCTGCTATAGGGGAAGTGGGTGGAGGCAGGAGATGTGGAAACTTGGCTATACAAAAGTTACGATTTCTGGAGGCAACCCACACCATTTGTGGCAAGGACAGGGTAAAAGACAACGTTTTGCCTCTGCTCACATCAGAGGCCTTATAAAATAAGAACAGGTAATTCAGTCTCCTTACTTAGATTGCCAATCAGACCAGAACCCTCCCCACCTTTTTCATGGGGCAAAGCCCTGCCAGGGGAGTTGAGGAGGAAGGGAGAAAAAAGGCAAAGAAGAAAGATAAAGTAAGATTAAGGACCAGAGAGGACCTTGTAGATAGCCAGAGCCTAGGTCACATGGGGGAAACAAGGCATGGAATAAGGCTTTTACATAATTCTCCTGCAATTTTGGCAATAACCTCTTTGGTTTTCCTTTTATCATCATTCTTCTTAAGGGAGCAGGAATCATAGTGCAGCCTGCATTAGGTCACACAGTATAAAGGTCAGGAAGATTACCATTCCCCTGGGCCTCTAGAACTCTGCAGCCTCTGTGTCTTAAAAGCTGCCGGTAATGGGCGGCGCCTGTGGCTCAGTGGGTAGGGTGCCAGCCCCATATACCAAAGGTGGTAGATTTGAACCTGGCCCCAAGCCAAACTGCAACAAAAGATAGCCGGGCATTGTGGCGGGCACCTGTAGTCCCAGCTACTCGGGAGGCTGAGGCAAGAGAATCACCTAAGCCCAAGAACTGGAGGTTGCTGTGAGCTGTGATGCCACAGCACTCTACTGAGGGTGGAAAAAGTGAGACTATGTCTCTTTAAAAAAAAAAGCTGCTGGTAAGAAACAGGCTAGTCCAGAGATAAGACATCACTCCTATTTGCGCACTTAACCACACCTGGAATATGACAGTTTATTTCATGAGAGGAAGTCACAGGTTGACTGGGAACAGAGTCCTCAGTTCCCCCTCATACTCATGTTTTACAGCAGCACAGTCCAGCAGAGAACAAAACTGAATAGACTCAGAATAGCCTGCCTCCACCCCTTTAAGCCCAGCAGCCCTAACATGGCCCGGGGTAGCAACGTTACCACATGGGTCGGCTGCTTTCCTGCCTTTCTGCCAAGGAACCTAGAGGCAGGGAGCTATCCATATACCAACAAGTTTAGTGAACTTCACAGAGTAATTGTTCATGGTCAGCGCCTGCCTCGCCTGGCCGGGCCTTCACATTGCATTTGCTGAGGCCAGCAGGCTGCCTCAGATGTGCTCTGACAGCTGGCACTCTGTCTTCCAGGAGCTGCTGCTGAGCCACACCCGCTCGCCTAGCCCCACCAAGCCTCGCCTGGGAGGACCTTCATGGAGCCAGTTGTCAGAGATGAGTTAGGGGCAATTATTCACTACAGCACTATCACTAACACATACTCTATACCTAGCTCTGGTCTAGCCATCCAGGACACAGAGAAGAGACTTAGTCTCTGTGCTCCAGATGGACATGTCTGGAAGGAAACACACATGAACTCAGTGTCAAGTGAGATAACTGATATCCCATGTGCCCAGGTGCTTCAAAACAAGAGACTGAGCTTCTTAGTAGATGTGATACTCTTGCTGAATCTTTGAGGAGAGGGCATATCCCTCATGAAGATAACTGGGAGACATGTCAGACAGAAGGAAGGCCAAAGGCCAAAGCCTAAAGCTAGGGCACAGCCCAGCCACCTCAGCTAAAGAGAAGCAGTAGCACCTACTCAGTTGTATGGAAGATCAGTAGGAGAAGTGGGTAGGGGTCAAAGTGCAGACATGCCAGAGTGCAAAGTAGTTTACAAATGCTGCCATAAAACATGGAACTAAGTCCAAGGTCATTCTCAGTGTAGCATAAATACTTAATAAAACCTTCTCTTCCACTGTTCCTACATGTGCTTGCTTAGCTCCAGGCCACAAACACACCAAAGGCATGCTGCTTTCCCTGCTGAGAACGCATTCTCTCCTCCTCATATCCATAGCCCGCCTTCCTTGAATGCCCAGTTCAAGACTCTAATCCCCATAATACCTAGTCTGGCCCCTCAATGACCTCTCTCTTTTCTGAGCCCCTGAGAGCTACCACCTTCTCTGAGCTTTCTGGAATCACTAAGCTGACTGGTAGCATAAGGCTCCTAAGGCTGCTCCAGGGCTATTGTCCTTAGATCAAAATGACTTATAGGAGCGAGTCTCCCTAGTAGACTGGGCCTCCTAGAGCAAAGATCCCCACAAAGTGGGAATTGGGGGGGGGTGCCTAGTCCTACATATCCTTTCTTCTGCTAATCTAGGAAGTACAGCACACATTAGGAAAGTATAGTTTTCTGGGTGATTCCTTCTCTGCCAGGACTCGCCATCATAGCTACATAGTCCTTGCCAGCCCCAGTCCCAGTGCAACTCTCCAGGGTTTTGGTGCCAGCCTCCTCCCTCATGCCCAGTGGGAATTAGGTTCTAGTTTCCATGGTGCTGCCTCACATGAGCAAGGCTCTGCTGGAGCTCAGCAGGACCAAAGCCAGCTTGAATGAACTCAACTTTGAACTTGAACAAACAAGAGGGAGATATACTGTGTTTCCCTGAAAATAAGACCTAAGCAAAAAATAAGCCCTAGCAGGATTTCTATGAGCCCTACCCCGATAATAAGACCTAGTGATGGGCGTGGCTATGCAGCATATCTGCGTAACCACGCCATGCATTTCGGAGCAGTAAAGAAGACTGGAATACCTTTTATCTGCCACAGCACCTTTCTCCGAGCAGAGCCGTTAACACTTGTGCAGGTGCACAAGTAACCAAGGTAGCAGGCATCCTACTGTGCATGTGTAAATGGCTAGGGGAAAGGAGTTCACGCATCACTAGTGCCAGCCCCACTAACAAGGTCAGCTCCCCCTGTCAGGTTCCAGAAGATGATGACTTAACTGTATTTGAATAAATGTAGATTGTTGTATTATATTTAATAAAAATAAGACATCCCCTGAAAATAAGCCCTAGTGTGTCTTCTTGAGAAAAAATAAATATAAGACAGTGTTTTATTTTCAGGGAAACATGGTAGTCAGGAGGTTTGGATGCCATATTCATGATGACATCAAAGGAGAATACTTTTCCAGAGGCTCAGCTAGACCACCTCTCTCTGAGAGACAACACAGCTCAACCCAGAGATTCAGCTCTGAGTAAGATTTACCTGAGACTTCTCTGCATGTCTGGGTGACACCAACCAGGGCTCCACCCTGGTCCCCAGGCAGCTCCCCACTCTCAGAAATAATCACAATATTTCCATGCATGTTAGCTAGGGAAGAGGAAGGAGGGATGTTCAGAATAGAGAAGAACAAAAAAGAAGAAAAAGATTAAAGATGAGAAAAGAAAGCAAAAGAGGGATGCTCAAAGGACCAAGAGAATCAGAGGATGCACCCTGGCGGAGCTCAGACACAGTACCTTTTTCAGATTAATCCACTGCTTGAAGTAATCCGCAATTGGCAAGCCCAAGTATTGGCACTGGCCTGGGAGCCTACAAAAAAGGGAAGAGAGAACAAGTTGGGTACATCTATTTCCCAGGTACTGAGTCTTAACCTATGAAGTCTAATAGAGTCCATAGGACAAACAGATTCCAAAAGGACAACCCATTAGCCATGGGTCCCACCCCACCCAAAAAAGGATCCCTCCTTTAGCACCATGGTCACTGGGCTCCAGATTCAGCCCTCAGATTCAAATATGAGAACCCAGAGACTCTATTCAAAATAATATCAGCAGCTACTATTTTCTAATAACTTATAACATGCTAAGAATCTTACTTACCTTTTCACATTTAAATCTTCAAAGCGATGCTGTGAGGTAGGTACTATAGTCTACATTTTATGGTGAGAAAATGAGACTCAGAGAGGTTATTTTTAAGAGACATTATTTTTATTTATTGATTTTTTTAAAATTTATTTATTTATTTGCAGTTTTGGCAGGGGCCGGGCTTGAATCCACCACCCCTGTATATGGGGCCAGCGCCCTACTCCTTGAGCCATAGGCACTGCCCCTCAGAGAGGTTATTTAAGGTCCCACAGCCAAAATATGACAGTGCCAAGAACTAACCCCAGGTATGTCTGACTCCAACGCCTATGTTCTTTCCAGGTGCCAATTTGTTGTTGCTGTTTTGTTATAGCAGAGAGGAAGAGAGATAAGACAGGAGGAGGGAAAGACCGAATGATTTAGAAATAGAAGGGCATGAGTTTCAGTTCACATTAAAGCCTTTGTCTATAGGCTTTTTTTTAGGTAGAGAAAAGAGGCCATGCAGAAGGATAAGAAGAGGTCAGAATTTAAACCAAGGGTCTGTTTTTGCTTTTTTCTTTAAGTTAGAATTTACTATCTCCCCTTCTAGCTAATGATGCCATTTTACCCACACAATTTAAACCAAACCTGCACTGATGCTTAATGGGGGGTCAGGAACTTAAGACTCAAAAAGTAAGACTGAACCCCTGTCCAAAATGGGCTCAGTTTGTTCAGAAGAATGGATAATGACAGAAAAAGACAAATACATCCTTAAGTTGGAGCATGGGGGCACATGGAAGGATGGAGGAAGACAGTATTAGAAATACCAGTTAGAAAAGATCAGAGTATTCTTGGAAAGAGAAAAGGTTGGCCATAGGCAATGAAGAGGCTCTGAAGAATTGTGATTCACCAAGATTGTTCTAGGGGCAGCAAAAAAAACAGATTCAAAATGGGTGGCACCTGGGGCTCAAGGAGTAGGGCACCAGCCCCATATACCGGAGGTGCTGGGTTCAAACCCGGCCCCGGCCAAAAACTGCAAAAAAAATAGACTCAAAATGCACAGTAGTAGCAGAAGAGAGACAGTAGTGGTGGAGATAGTGATTAAAGAACAGACATGAGATATAAGGGAGTAAGGGAAACCCGGGAGACCAAATGGGAGGTGGGGCCCACTGAAAGAATGCAGTGGAGTACAATTAAAAGGTGTATGGCAGGGGTCCCCAAACTTTTTAAACAGGGGGCCAGTTCACTGTCCCTCAGACCGTTGGAGGGCCAGACTGTGGGCCCCAGGACAAGTCGGCTGCTAAGCAGGACAGGCAGCAGCGGCAAAAATACCCGCGGGCCGGATAAATATCCTAGGTGGGTTGCATGTGGCCCGCGGGCCATAGTTTGAGGATGCCTGTTGTATGGCATGGCTAGTTTCAGACTATTTGCTGAGATAGACACAAAGGAGGCAGCAGCATTGAGCATATCTGATACCTAGAGCAAACCAATATTTGAGTCAATTTTATTATTGCTTTAAAATTCTCTATATGGTGAGCGTGGTAGCTCATGCCTGTAATCCTAGTACTCTGGAAGCCCAGGGCAGGTAGATCACCTGAGCTCAGGAGTTCAAGACCAGCCTGAGCAAGAGAGAGACCCCCATCTCTACCAAAAACAGAAAACTACCCAGGCATGTGGCAGGCAACTGTAGTCCCAGCTACTCGGGAGGGTGAGGCAAGGGGATCTCTTAAGCCCAAGAGTTTGAGGTGGTTGTGAGCTAGGATATCATGGCATTCTACCCAGGGCACAGATTAAGACTGTCTCAAGAGATAAAAATTAAAAAATAATAAAATATAATTCTCTACATGTGGTGTATGTCCTTTCTGCCCAAACTGGAGGGACTGCTCCCACAGCCTCACCCTCAGCACACAACTAGAAGAAGAGGATTTAGGAAATGTAGTTTGTCTAAGAAGCAGAACTTTAGTCTGATAATAATTTTATTTCTTTCTTTTTTTTTTTCCCCCACCCCCTCCAATTTTATTTCTTTCAATATTTTTTTTTTATTTCTTATCCTCGATATTTGTGAAAATGCTTGCCGAGTCGAATAATTTTAGAAAAATAACATTTAGCTCTCTAAGTGAAGGAGGCTACCCAAAGCAGCATGATCTGCAAAGGAACAGGTTTGGGAGACTGACCAGCAAAAGGCAGGGAGCCCTGTCTTACTTCAGCCAACCCCAGCACCCCCTAATTCTTTTAGTTGACCCAGGCCAGAAGTCCTATTGGCTCTGGCCAGCCCTGGGAGGAGCTCCCTCTTCAGCAGGATTTCAAGGATAGACAACAGCTGTATACATTTCTGCCTAGTTATGAAAGGTGTAGGTCATAGGATTCTACCTCCTTCTCTGAGAGACCAAAGGGGCCACCTTGAGGGCAGACCAAACAGATTGTCAGAATGGATACCCAGCCTTAGATATGGCTCAGTAGCAATCCTAAGTACCCTTCTGTACCCAAGTCTCCCTGGGGGCACATGGGGACTATAATTCTCAGTCAGGGGTTCTCATCACTTGTAGGTACACGTGCAGTTTGCAGACTCACTCAATGGGCATTCAGGTTGTTGAATGGTCCTGTGGGTGGTTTTAGCCCTCTGACTCTAAGATACAAGCAGACAGATATACCCATCCTCATGACAGACACAGAGCCAGATGCCTAAACTTCAACTTTCAGGTGCCTCATGGGAAGACAGCTACACATCCCTATCACACACTCTTACCCTAGCTTACAAAGCACCAAGCGATGATGTCTGTGAAGAAGGTGGGTCACAGTAGTTGTCACTCCTTACGCAATAGAGGGAACTGAGGCTCAGAGAAGAAAAAGCATTTGTTCAATCATAACAAGCCAAAGGAAAAACTAGAGATGGAATCCAAGGTTTTTGACTGCACAGGCATCAGCTATATAGATGCACTTAGAGCTCTTTACAGTCCCAGGGGAACCAAAGCCTTAGGCCTTAGAGAGGCAGGTAGCATGGTGGTCACTGCTCAAGGTCACATCTGGGTTCAAGGTTCTTAGGAGCCTGAGGCTAGGGTCAGTGCGGACCAGGGAGCACATGATTCCACCAATTTGGAAAGAAAAAGAGCAGAAGTCCTCCTAATACAAAGGGCCTGAATGCTCTAAGTTCTTACCAGCTACTGGTCTCAAGAAAAGAGCCACTGGCAGTGGGCCCTGAACTGGCCTGCAGGTATGAACGTGCAAGCAGGTTTATGGTGCCCAGGTCTCCCTGCAGCTGGAGTCACTGGGCACAAAGCTCCCCAACTGCCCAAACATCATCTGGTCATGCTTATTACTGTTGCCCAATGAAATTTTATGCACCGAGTCCACAGGTGTGATTTCCCCTTCTTTATGAGGGTCGGAATGACATCATTGATGGCCAATAGAAAAGAGCCAATTATGTCCAGGCCATAAAAAGGAATGAGATTTTTTTCAACCAAATCAAAACTTCCTTCAGCTTCATGAACGCAAGGGGCCCCCTTAAGGAAGGGTCCCCCAGTCCTGTCTTCAGGCTCTAAACTGAGGCACATGATTGGATTCAAGTACTATGGGCCTAGGGTCAGAAAAGGGCTCTACCCTTGGCATTTACCTGTGGCCCTGCTCTTATCAACTGGCCCCTCAGGATCCACAGAACATCAGACCCAACCCTCACCTCTGACTGGCTCCTCACTACTCCATCCAAGGGAAAATTAGAAAAGATCAGTACTCCTTCAGCTCTCTTATTACTCCTTTCAAGTAACACAAAAGAAAGCAGAGAGCCCTCCCCTTGCTTTGAAAGAAGGGAACAATATAGGGGGAAGGGGATTGTAAGAAAATGCACCCTCCCCAAGCACAGAGCACAAAGCAAAAGGAGCCCAGCCTTCTCCACCCCGACCCTCATTCAGCCCTACCACCTGCAACTGAGCCACTTTGGTGGGGCCCAGACAGCCCTGATGGCAAACAGGTGTGGCTAGCTTGGCGGCAGCCAAGGCAGGGGAGTAGCTCATTAGGGAAACACCCCCCTTGCTAATGGGTATGGCCAAGATGGAGCCACTGTGAGCAGGAGCTCAGCTTTGAAGATTAGGTGAAACAGAGCTGGGGGAGAACTATTAGGCTTGAGACAAGGAGACCAGCACCTCCATAGAAGTCTGACAGACAGACTTCCAGATGGACACAATAGCCAAGACCAGCAAGAGAGCAGGCATCAGCTTTTCTCTCTTCAAGTCTTAGAGCCAGACCCAACTCAGAGAGATGCATGTCACTCACTTTTAGCAGATCCAAGCCCTTAAAGAGAAGGAAGACCAGTAGACTCTGGAGCTATCCATGACCCTTTCTGCCTCTCAGGAAAGGCTGTGAGAACTGGATCTTGGAGTGATGAGGGCTGTCAGTCCTGTGCCCAATAATCCACAACAGGCATATACTGTTCACCTGCAGGAGGAAACTACTATGTTCCTATGATATGGGGGAGTGTTGGGGAGCAAAGGTGAAGAGAGGGAGAAAAGCTCTGTCTTCTTCAAAGTCATCATTGGACCATGGCAGCACAGAAGGCCCAGCTACTTAGCAGTCAGCCAAGCAGTCAGATGGAAGATCCCACCATGGGACACTTACGAGGGGTGGGTAAGGCAAGTTTCCATGCAAGGTTTCCACACTTGTTCATTCCAATACAAACACCCTCAGAGAATACTGTCCCTAGCTGCCCCGGATCTCAGAACTGTCACAATTTCCTATGCTTCCCTCCAACTCCCCAGTCTC